AGAGAGAGAGAGAGAGAGAGAGAGAGAGAGAGAGAGAGAGAGAGAGAGAGAGAGAAGATGCGTTTCTGTTGGCGAATTGAATCTAAGAAAGTGATGACAGACGGGTCGAACGGAGAACCGCTCCTCCCTCGGCCTATCCTGCTCCCTCTCTCCATTCCTGCCTCGGCCCTTCTCCCTCGGCTCCGCTCCTTACTCCCTGGCTCCTTTGTCCGCCCTCGGCCCTCCGCCCCTCCTTCCCTCTCTTTTCCCTCCATCTCTACCTCCCTCCTGCCGTCCCCCCTTCTTTCTCCGTGCCCGACCTAGAGAGTGCACTTCGTTTTTTGTCATTTCCCCGATTTCCATAAACACCACATTCGTTTCTCGATCCGTATAAGGGCGCCCGCGCGCGCGCTCGAAAAAAAAAAAAAAAAAAAAAAAAGAGAAGAGAGAGAGAGAGAGAGAGAGAGAGAGAGAGAGAGACTGACTCACTGTGCCGGGTGTAGGGAATGGAGAAGGAAGAGCGTGAACTGCGGAAAGAAATATCGATTGCTTGAAATACTTTGCATGGGTCAGTTCGGTGATTAATCTCAAGGCCGCCCCCAACGAACGAGTGGAGAATGTCGACGAGTAAGAGCTTGAGGAGGCGGGAGACGTACCTTGGGTGGTGGAGGAGACGCACAAAGGGGAATGTGCGGGCAAGGAGGAGCCTGAGGGGAAAGGACGAGCATGAGGAGGATGTGGAAGAGGACGAGTGTTTGGTGAAATGTGTCTCTATCTCTGTCCCTCTCTCCCTTTCTCGCTCTCCCTCTCGTTTTCTTGGGCGCGTGCACCCTTCTTTGTTATCTTGAAAAGAAATGCAGCGTTCACGTCCACCGGGAAAAGGAAACCAAATGAAATGCACTTCTTAGGTCGTGCGTTACGAAAGGAGGTCGGTCGGTCGGAGGGAGGAAGGAGGGAGGCAGGAGGTCAGGTAAATGAGGAATGGAGGGAGGAGGTCAGGTGCAGGCCGGGCGGAGAAAGCACGGGGAGGGAGGAGATTGGGGCAGGGAGGAGGTCAGGTTAATGAGGAATGGAGGGAGGAGTTCAGGTGCAGGCCGGGCGGAGAAAGCAAGGGGAGGGAGGATATTGGGGCCGGGAGGAGGTCAGGTGAAGGTGGAGATCCGGAGGAGGAAGGAAGGGGAAGGAGGAGATAGGGGAGGAAGGAGGTCAGGCAGAGATGGAGCGAACTCTGGCAAGCCGGGAGGAAGGGGAAAGGCAGAGGTTGGGTGGACTACGAGAGAGAGAGAGAGAGAGAGAGAGAGAGAGAGAGAGAGAGAGAGAGCAACTGCATTCTATAATTATTATAAACAGAACCAAGAGGAGGGTATGTACTTAGTATTCGTTTTTGAGAAAGGGGAGGCCATTAAATCACCCCCAGAGATAAAATTTGTCGTTGCTAAGTACCCAGATTTGTTTGAGGAGCCTTCAAGAGTCGTAGACAGGGAGGTTGTCCATGCCATAGAGGTTATCCCAGGTAGCAAGACACCAAAGGGGAAAGTCTATAGGATGGCTCCGGCCGAGTTGGACGAGCTTCATCGACATCTAAAAAAACTCAGAGAAGGGTTGGATTCGGCCTAGTATTAGACGATTCAAAGAAGTACGTACAGACTGGTCAAGTCTGTTAGTGGGATAAGCCGTGAACTCAAGCACCACTTGGGTTATTGAAGCCAGTGCCTATTCCTGTGCGTCCGGTACGAAGTGTCTCCATGGATTTGATGGACACTCTCGTGACCAGGAAGAGTGGCAAACGACACATCTTCGTCATAGTGGACAGGTTTACTAAGTACACCAGACTAATTGCCATGCCAGAAACTGCAAAGACTGAACACGTCATCAAGTTATTCATGGATATCTGGGTGCATGATTTTGGACAGCCTAAGACCGTTGTGAGTGACAGAGATTTCCGGTTCACGAGTGAGATGTGGAAGAAAGCCACTGAACAGATGGGCAGTCAACTCTAAATGACTTCGGGGAATCACCCTGAAGCCAACGACCAAGTCAAACAGGTGAACCACATGGTGCAGCATCTGCTGAGGCATTACATTAAGCCCAACCAGGATGAATGGGATGAGAAGTTACCTGTCATCGCCAGTCTGTACAACAATGCTGTGCACAGCACCACGGGCGTCTGCCCGAATGAGCTTCATTTGGGATGGAAGCCTAGGTCTGCACTAAACTTCCTCCAACGGCAAAAAAAAACCGTGTTGTTTTAATTCACAACAAGCCAAAAATCAACAAAAACAAAAAACTTTCATTGAGGTATTCTTACTAATATTGATTCAATAGCTTATGATACAATTGCAATCATACTCGACTTCTTCACACTTGTCATGTATGCAAACAGCGAAACAGCAACTGGCGACATGCGCCCACACAATACTCAAGATATCGTAACCAGATATGAGTTCTCTTCAACTGGCTATGGCGACTGGGCGCCCACACAACTCACTGTTCACACTCTGGATCACCCTGGATGTCCCACACGCAACACTCAGTAT